GTAACACTCTCAGCTGTTCTTGAATTGTATACTCTCACACTTCGGAATACTCATACTACTTTAGTATCCACAAATTGTTTGTGGAGTGTTACCATACATAAATAATATTTTAAACTGAATTACCGTTACATTTACCTAAGCATTTAAATTTAAATAATATACGCTTAATATTTAGTATGAGATTAACATTTAGTATGAGAATTATTACGAGATTATTGACCGGTCACTGCAGATTGAATAATCACCTATCGTAGTTAGGAATTCTAGCCAACTCAGACTGCAGATACTGTAGAGTAGAGAGAGAAACTGCATACCATGTGTTTGGAGAGTGCCCGACACTGATGCACAAGCGAAAGAAACACCTAGCAGGGTATTTCATAGATCATAAAGATTCAAGACGAGGAAAGATAAGCTCTATATTAACTTTCATTAAAGAAATTGTACTTGGAGAAACACTCTAACCCGAGTAAGGGGCACAATAGATCTTTTAGGTCGCAGTGCACAATCCCTTCTTCTAATAATAATAAAAATAATAGTATAAGTTTCAGCGTTTATTGTGTTTGAAAGAAGTACATGTTATCTTGAAAGTACTGGAAAAAGTAAGTTTTGAATCTTCTTCTTTTTTTGTGGAAACGCAAGTTAGAGTTTAAAGCCGTGTGTGAATTCGAGTGAATTGATGGTAAATTTAAAGAAATATTAAATTATGTCGGTATAACAGCAAATCTTGGTATTTACAAAAATTTCGAGTAGGGTAAATTAAATAAAAATTAGATAAATTAAGTATTACCATTGTGAAAATTTTATAAGATGTTTAATAAATAAATAAATAAATTTGAAAACTTTTAAGCAAAAATAAAATAAATATATAAAATATAATAAATATAAAAACATAAAATATATAACAAAATATAAACTTCAATTTATTTTACCTAAATTTACTCGAACTCGCACACGGCCTAAAGCACTTTTACTTTATAATATCTGAGACCACTTAGATGATGTACTAAAACAAGAAGTCTATTAAATTATGATAATGAGCTATTCAGGTGAATATACAGAAATGTGTTTTGAAGCCCAGCATATCTTCAATCAAGAAGATTTCATTTAATAGAGTACAATTCAAAATGAAGTGAGCAACCTTAGAATCAAACTAGGTATATCAGCGCACTCTCTTTGATATATATTTATAAACTCTCGACTTTCATGTCTTTGTGTATAGGTTCATTTCTAAAGTGGAGTTTTTAACATACATCTCAATAAAATATTCTGTTAAGCTTGACCTTTTTTTATGTTGGATGCAGCAGTACTGGCAGTCATAAAGTAATTTATATCTAATTACTTGCTTATAAAGTAGAGTTTTACACTCAACTTTCCTTATGCTGACAATGAGCATTCAGTGTAACATTACAAGCCTGTTTTGTTTTTTGACCTTTATATTCTCAAGCGAAGTATATCTCTATCAGAAGTTAGACCTAACTATTATACATTGTCTTCCTAGTCTATTTCACATGATTTATCTTTATTTTCCTTGAAGACTTTTAATTTCAAGTCTTGTAATGAACATAGCTTTCGTTTTTTAATATTCACTCTGATTCTCTACCTTCTAAAGTACCTAATTATCAATGGGATAGTGAGGTTATCCTTATATTATCAATTTAAATGAATAACTAAGAAAAAACATAATTTTATTTAACCGAACTTAAGGTCGATTATTTACTTCTCAAATTGTTAATAAGTTACGAAGGCGGTTTGATAAGTCAGTGGCTTTTTGAATTTCCCGCGCAGTTACTCCAAATGCAACAGTGCTGCCGCCAGCTGTAATCTACCAGTGGGCAACTTTTTAATTTTGAGAAAGCTAAGTCGTTCAGTTGGTGTTTGATAGCCGTTCAAAGTAGACAACCTCGTGAATTTTTACAAAAATGGAAAAAAGTGAATTCCCCAAAAGAACTGCGTACAGACAAACCTGAAAGGCACAAGTCCCCCATTCAAGTGAAAGAGAAACAACCTGACAAGTCTATAAACTTTGCCAAGTCTAAAATTTTGCAAGATGACAACACATTCATATTGTTATGAAAAGGGAACCAAAGATTTTTAATCTTCTATTGACCAAATATGGGTATTGATAAAAAAATGGAAAAACAGACTATTTCTCCATTTCAGAGCTACAACTTCGACAAAAATCATTATAGAGTAGATACAGGTTCATAGCATGACTTCCTAGTACAAACAACACTAAAAAGCTCCACTTCCCCATTCAAATCGAAGTAAACCAAGTATATAAGTCTACAAACTTTTCTAAGCCCCTAATTTTGTGGATTAAGAGTTATGCTAGGTTAGTAAGAGAAGGGTCCGAAAATTTTTGAATCTTCTTTTAGCCAACGATAGACATCAATACATGAGGTAGAGTTAAATATCCTCCTTATCCGTTGAGTCAATATTGAATAATCAGCAAGACTTTGATGGTGAAAATGAGAGCCTAAGACCCAATTTTTAAAAAAAATATGCCACTATCTATTTATATTAATCTATTCTATTTGTCACAGCATCTATTTAACATTAAACTTTATTTTGTTGGATTGAATAAATTCTATTATTCGAACCGTTTGAAAAAACTGAAAAATTATAGAATCAAACTTATTCAGCTGAAAGAACAGTATGTTGGTAAATAAAATCAATCAATTAAAAAAATAGAACTAAGGTCTCAATGACTAAGACAGTTAAAGAGATCTCAAAAGTCTATTTTTGTTAATTTTGAAAGGCAGTAAAGAAAGTCATTAACATTAGATGTACTTCATCTGTAGTCCCACCAGAGACATAGACAATGATTGACTATTGCTTTTCTCAAAAGTTTGTTTTTGTTAACTTTTCCAGGCAGTGAAAAAACGATTTCCAAGACATTAAAGCCGCTTCATCTGTAGTCCCAGCCAGAAATATTGAAAGTGACTGATTATTGTTTTAATGTTTCATCATGTTACCTCATACGCAGTCCGCTTGTTGAAATATGTCAATGTTAAATCGTTGGTACAAAAGTATAGTGCCATGTTTGTACTCCAGTAACGACACGAAGTATGAAATTACTGAAGCCCAAAATTAGACCAAAATCTAATCCAACATAAAATTGTATTGTGTTTGCACAGCGTTGGACAATGACAGTGGATTCATTATTAACAGATTTTAAAGCAAAGGAAACACAATATTAGAGAAGACAGGAGATAATTAAAGAAAGATGAAGAAAAGTGATTAAGAATTTCAAATATTATATTATTCAAATATTATATTATCAAATATTTTATGCCTTATAGAGAATTAGAATTAGAGAAAATGTTTTGTATCTTTCTTGTTTTTTGTAAGCGGCTAATATAACTATTTTTCCCAGAACTCAGAGTTCTATAGTTCCTAATTCTAGAGAAATCTTAGATTGAAAACAAAAGCAATAAAAATAAAATCTAATTTCTAAACTTTCTAAATTATAAGAAAAAATCAATAATACTCACTGTTAAAAATAGTTAATCGAAAGAACCCAGTGCACCTCCTAGTACGTAGTTCATACAACTATTTTATCTAGAACTCAACTCAGTTTGAAATTTTAGTGAAAATAATATCTTATTTCTAATCTTTATAATTTATCATAAGATTTTAATAATAACTTTTGATAAAAATATACAATATAGTAAACCCAATTGATGTCCTGGTGCGCATTTAATATTAATAGAAATCAGCTAGAGTAAGAAATGTTAGATTTGAAGTAAAACCAGTGAAAATAAAATATAGCTTTTCATCTTTGTAAGTTTGTAACCCAGTAGACGTCCTAGTAAGTGATTAAGTACGTGATTTTTCCTAGAACTTCGCTAGACTTAGGAATATTACAATTACTTACCAGTAAAAATTAAATCTGATATTTTATCTTCTCAACGTTGCAAAGAATATAAATAATATCACTGAATAATATCGTAGATTTTTTTTAAAAGTAATAGTATATTTCACTTACTTCATTAGATTCTTAAATACTTACTTGAGATTCAAGAAATTCAAGCAAACTCAAGTAAGTTAACTTGTCTAACGAAGCCAGTGGAAAGATACTATAAGCAACAGAGAGTACCTAGAAGACGTAATGGAGATGACTAAAAAGTTTTCGATCTACTTAAAGAAGGATAAAAAGTTAAATGAGATTAAAATAAAAAAAAAATACTGTTAACTAAAAAACAACTAAATAGCAAATATGATAAATTTATATTTTAGATAAATATCATGCCACAAATCTTATTTGAATATATCTCATTTTGGAATATGTATGTATATTGCATATTTATTTTAGGTATATAAAAAAATAAATACTATAAATTCATCACTAAAAGTTTTTATATTATAAATAAATTCTAATAAACTACAAATAAAAACTCTTAAGTTTTGAATTTTTCTGAGACAGGGTTGTTTTCGTGTCATGTTACTTATTATCAAAATATGCTGTATATAATCAAATAATATGAATTTAAATTATTGAAATAAAACATATTTTTTTATTTATTAATAGAAGAAGTAACTAATTAATTCAATATATTTATTTTTTTCAGATATACAAATTCTGTTTTTAAAATTTTTTTATTACATTCACAAAATTATTTCATTTAGCAAATACACGAACCATAACCATCTGACATTTGAATGTTTTGACACATATGCAAAATCTTCAACATTACCTTTTCGTTTGACATTTGTTTTGTACAAAATTTGTAACATAAAGAAAATCAAAAATAAATGGCGAACGAAAAGAACACAGCAGCAGCGAAAAAAACGACACAATAAAAGCAAATGAATAAAATTTGCATTAAAAATACGATTAAAATAATATAAAATTAATAAAAAACGAAAATTTAACAAAAATACTATATGAAATAAATAAAATTTGTATATTAATATTAGAATATAATAACGAAATCAGTGAAAGATTTTCTTGTGTCTTTTTTGTGTGAAAAACGACGAACGTAAAAGAAAAAGTAAAAAATTAAAATATTTTTATTCGAGTTTCAGACAAGTTATGTCTGCAATTTCATAATATGTTACTGTGCTAATATTATTTTATAATTTGTGTTTAATTAAATATACGTGTTTACATACCGGAATTATAGTAACGGTAGGCGTGGTAGTCCAGATTATATGTATATTATAATATATATAAATATATTTCCATGTTTTTTTTTTATTATTGGTGTCAAGTGCAGCCACTGTGCAATTGTCAATTTGATTTTAAGCAGCGCGGCGCTACAACACCCCACCCTCTTTGTTGCATTATTAACTGTTTGTTGTTGTTTAGCTGCTTTCATGTTTTTGTGTAGTTGCAATTTAAAAAATAGTAAATAATTGTTTAATTAAATATGTTTTTGTTGTTTTTGGTTTAAAAGTTTTAGAGCGTTTTAACACGTTTTGCATTTGTTGTAAACTGTGTACCGAATATACGGGTTAATAATATATTTTTTTAATTTGATAATATTTACAGTTTATGAAATTGTGTACATGATCGGAGACATGAAAGCATTTTACGCATTTTGGCAATCGATGCTTCAAAACCGCGGGAGGTCAAATTTTTATTATGTTTTAGAGACAAAAAAAGAAACTCCGCACTTTCTTTAAATATGCAATATAGAAAACTAGTTTATGTTGGTAATTAATTTAATAAAACTATCACAAAACTATCACAGCCCTGTTTGCGCAATAATAATTAATAACTATTACTTTTACGATTACGTTTTTTTGCTAATCCGCTTTTATCCGTTAAGACGCTTTGATAAAGCAACACTAACCGTGCATTGCACTGCAATTGTAAGAAAGGCTTTACGATCTCCTTTTGTCATCCTCTTCTTTTTCCCCATTGAATAAGGGTTTAAGGTGAACATAATAAATATTTTAATATTACAACAACAACAATAATATTTGAAATGAATGAATTAATTGCTTCAAAAAACAAACGGTTAGAACCGTTTGATATTGGCTTGGTATGCATACGGGGGTAGTCATACATTTCCATTGGAAAAAACTATTTGAAATAATCATACAAAAATAAAAACAGTTGTCATTAATCTTCTAAAAAAAAAATTCATGCATTTTATGTAATTAAAATTATAATAGCAATTGTAAATATAATTAAACAGTTCTTCAATATAATATTTTACTGTCGTAGTTATACTCGGACCATTAGAATTTCTCTAACGATTGTTCATAGCTGTGGATATACTAATGTAGCAAGTAACAAGCATGCAGATGAGCTAGCTAGACTTGACTTCTCTTCTATGGAACCTCCCATTTTAATCCCTGCTCCTACTAGCCACAGACAAAAGTTGACTTATGGACTTACAACCAGTTTTTGCTGCAGGCAAATAGAAAACAGACTCATATATCCTCTAGAGTCAGTCAGAGTAGAGTTACTTTGCTCCTGTACTTCAAATATAGAACCTCCGACTTGTTTCATAGAAGTAAATCGGAAGTAACTATGTTAATATCTATGCTAACAAGACAGTAGACTATAGGACGGCATGAAACCAAGCTGTAATATAAGTCTACAAGTACTCGAAGAAAACACACCAAAACAATTGTGTCTATGAGTATGTTAGTATTATCTAGAAACAAGCTTTAACTATTAGCCACCCCAGGTGTTATTTTCAGAATTAGCATTAGCCAGATGCTTGCGTTTATTAATGCGTTTGACTGGTACTAATATGCCTATTCTTTTATCTGGATTTAAAAACAATGTGAAATCAAAACGGCTTTCTTAGATAATAGAGAAGACGCTGTTGTTGTTGTAGCCCACAAGGATCTGCTATAATTAGTTAAATAACTTTTAGAGATGGAGAACGGATCTTCATTGCCGTGATGAACGAATAGTTCCGGAGCGTTAATCTGACTATTATTGAAACCTTGAAAAGTCGTTTCTCTTTACCGACCTACTTATCTACCTTCCACTATTGTGTTCATTTCTATTATGTATGAGAGTATGTATTTAGGTGCGGAGAAAGGTAATATGCATATATAATAGATCTTTTCTTACCTAAACAGCAGCTTACTTTTCTTATTTAAATATCAATTTGATTTTTTTTATCTATGGAACGAATTACTTTTCATAATAAAATATTTTTCTGCGCCTAGGCTTTTACTGCTATTACTTTTTAGTTCATTCGATTCTTTCAGGTGGAAATATAATTACTAGCTATTACCAACTTTATTAAACCACAATTTATTATTATTTCCGTACTCCATTAGGAGCTTAAGTAATCTACAAAAGTTTTCCACTGGTTTCTATTTTGTGCTCTGAACTCGTTAAACGATTTGCCCGTCTCCTACTAAACTGTTTTTCTCCAGGTCATTGCTGGTCTGAAAACCACAATTTACCATAATAAAAAACATAATTAATATGTTTTTCAAATAATTAATAATACTATTTAGATAAATGTTTGGATTCGCTATAAGCGATATATACTTGCGGATCAAAATTCAGTTCAACTATATGCTTGGCACTCAGTAGCTATTGATGCTGCCAATAATGAAAAAGAGATGTTAAGAGTATTGGACACATTTTTTGCTAAAAGTTTTATCAATGCATATGCATTGGTTAAAAGTCAATAAACTGTGATGAAATTGTCAGAGTGTAGAAATCAATTTACTGGTTTTTGAATGAGTTTTAATAATACATAGGTGCGTTCTACCAGCTACCGTCAGAAAAAGACTAGTACAACTCAAGCTCTCTTATGCTTGTATGAATCAAAGTAACTTGAAGTCACTTAGAGAAGTTGTTAGAACAAACCTAATATTTCAAGACACGTTACAGTTATTTTGTTTCTTCTTCTTTGTTAGATGTAGAGAAAGTGGAGATACATTGTAGATATTCTGTAAATCTTTTGTTAGACCTGAAGAAAGTAAAACTCGATATATTTTATTATATTTTTTAGTAAAAATCAATAAGCATGTGTTAATAATAGTTAATAAATTGTGTAGAAATATATGCAGATAAAGATAAAGAACAATATCAAGTTATTTACATAAATTCTTTTCGATTTTATGTTAATAATTTGTGTTTAAAAATAAATATAAAAGTAAAAATTTTGAAGCCATCATCTTCTCTATTGATAAAAATAAAATTTTGACAATGAATTTTTATTTATGCTGATGGAGCAACATAAATTGATACTGCGTATCAAAAACTGGTCAAACCAATCAAACCAAAATTTACACAATCTTTTCTTTTCAACATTTACCTTGTCTAATCTTTATAGACTTTTTCAAAAAATTTTATTTGTTTTTATCATAAAATATTTTTTATTTTTATTTTTTGTTTTTTTCTTTCAGTTAACGAAATTAATTTGAGAGTGAAATCACAAATTAGCACGTATGGCTTACAAATGGGGCATAGGAGAAACGCTCATCTATAGCAAAATAAGAAACGTGCAGTATTAGGAAGAGAAGAGTAGCAGATTTATTTGTTAAGTATCGGAAAGGATTTATGCCTACACGTAAGACCTCAATAAACAACAGTAACATTAACCAAATGCTTGCCATAAGTGAAGAACATCATACAGATTCCGGCACAGTTACATCAGATACCACCAATAATGGCAACATCAATTCATCCAACATTACAAACAACAACAACAACAATAACACAAATAGCATCAGTAACTCCACGATGCCACCATTACCTGATGGCAGCTTGTGGACAGCTTTATATGATTATGAAGCACAAGGTGATGATGAATTATCCCTGCGATGTGGTCAAATTGTGATAGTATTATCGATGGATAGTAATATCTCAGGAGATGAAGGCTGGTGGACTGGAAAAATTGGTGACGAGGTAATGTGTTGAGATTGCAACGAGTGTATACGTCACTTCCTCAAAAGCACTTCATTATATTATGGCATAATAAATTATTTGCTACAATTTCCAGTTTTTATGAGTATAAATAAATTATATCGAGTTACCTTAACGCTTGAGAATAACTCACCACTTAAGAGTTTGATAAGCTTTTATTTATTATTTAATATTTATATTTGATAAGCGTTCGCTTATCTCGTGGAAAAATATTAAAATAGAATATTTTCTAGCATCTTACTAATGCAATACTTTACTTAATATCTTTAAAGGTATTGTTTGCTTAAATAAAATAAAATGAAAAAAATTTCAAATCAATTAGTAAATAATTCATAGTTAATCTTATCGATTAATTGGTATTTATTGCATATGAAATAAAATTTAGAATGCTTTTATATACCACTCTAACATATTGTTAAAAATCTGTCCCTGACCTTTGAAATACAAGTTTTTTTTTAAATAATTTGCTATGCCATATTAATTTTATGCTTTTTTAAGTTAGTTACCTTACACTAACATACTGCCGTTTTCATGAATTTCTACTAAAATTGTATATTTTCTTTAGGTTGGCATATTTCCTAGCAATTTCGTTACGAACAAGGATCCTATGTTATTAAATGTGCCTTCAGCGATTGGTGATATACAACCGCGTGAAATCGCTTACGAGGAATTAGACATAAAAGAAGTAATCGGTATTGGTGGCTTTTGTGAAGTACATCGTGGTTATTATGGCAACGAAGAAGTTGCTATAAAGGCAGCACGTCAGAATCCTGATGAAGATATGCAAACCGCACGCGAAAATGTTTTACAGGAAGCCACACTTTTATGGGCTCTAAAGCATGAGAATATTGTCGCATTGCATGGCGTGTGCTTAAAGTCAAAATTATGTCTAGTTATGGAATATGCACGTGGTGGGAGTTTGAATCGTATTTTGGCTGGTCGCAAAATACCGCCCGATGTGCTGGTTGATTGGGCAATACAAATAGCACGTGGCATGAATTATGTACATAATGAAGCTAAAATTTCGATTATACATCGAGACTTAAAGAGTTCAAATGGTGAGTGAAAGTGCAGAGAATTAGCAAAATGTATATTAAATTTACAAAATTGTTTACTTTCTTAACACGATTATTATCGGATCGATTATTACCTATATATAATGTTTATATTTATTATTGCTATTTTTGTTTATATTTTATCAGTATGCACTATTGATAACAGTCACAAATGTTTTACAATGTTTATAAGCAATTATTATTTATTTCCTATGTATTATTAAACAGAGTATTAATTTAAGATAATTATTATTTAATAGTTTTACTTTTTGTAACTTAGTTTATTTTATTATATTTTTTTTTTTAACAATTAACGGTAGCGAATCGTCGAGGTTTTCAGGGTGTGTAATAAACACCCATAAGTATTTAAATATATTTTATATATTGCTAAAAGCTTGTATTAACTTTAATGAAAAATATTAGTTTTTTCTTGTATATAGTTATTTTATATAGAAAAGCTTTTTGAACAGTGGTGAATTGCAACAACAAATTGTATTATTTTTAATTAATTGCATTTTTTTGCTGATCATATAGCTGTTTCAAATATTGCCAAATATCCATTATCAGTGGGCTCTTGGAATTATTTCTTCTTCGTAAACAATTTTTTTGAAACTGCAAGTACTAAGGTTTGAACTTGCACCCTGTCAAAAAGGAAAAGTAATTTTATATAGTTATAAAAGTTCGACGGCGTTACAGCACCAGCTACCTATTATTACAATCGAACATAACATAATATTATTATATTTGATTTATTATTTATTTATTTGTGAGTTAACATTAAAATTTATTTTGAAGTTAACTAAGAAAAAGTAGCTGGACTACTAGGTCTTTCGTCCTGTATTGTATTTTTATTTGTTTGCTATTTCGAATTTAATTTGTCAACAGATAGTGTTTCAGTATTAATAACCTCCTATAATGTTTTCTAGACATCTAGACAGCCTCCGCGTTCTCCGCCGTAAGGTAGAATTTATATAAACTTGGATATGCCATTGCGAAAGTCAATTAATAGTTTTTTTATTTAGGTTCCCATAAGCCTTCAACATCATATATAATACTATAAAACAAGTGCACTCGTGACTATTTTCAGTTTTTAAATATTAGTGTTTCAAATATTAATCCAGTTGTTTAAAGCTTCGACCATTTTAATTACCCACTTTGGCTGGCGTACAGTTAGCTTGACAAAGTTCGAACACAATATGATATTCGAACATTTGCTTCTTTATATATATTTATGTATATAAAACTAAACAGAAATAAAATATAATAAAACTCTAATTGATGTTTAAACAATTGGTATCATATATAATATATTTAAATATATTAGTAATTAAATTAAAACATTATGCGTATGAATTGGTTGAACTGTTCGTTTCAAATCTTTGAATTCGAAGATGTACATTCGAAGTGCACGATTATTGTAATACTCGATATTAGTAATTTAGCTCCAACATTTACATATTAATTATTAAACAATTTTTTTTAAGTGTATTCTTGGGCTAACCCTACAGCTATTTCGGATACCGCCTATTAGTAATACCTATTGGTGCAATTGACTGTACATAAAATGACTATACATCACAATAAAAGCGGTAGAAAAATTATTTATTTTTATATTGTATTACTATATACATAAATAAATATATATTGAGTAGTCTTATTTTATTAGACAAAAATAGAAACAAAAATTAATCATTTCTATTAGTTTTTATTTTATACTAGAGGAATTTTTTTAAGCGTTATCATATTTTTCTTATTTTTCATGTCATATTTTGCTAAATTTATTATATTTATTCACGTATTACAAATTAGGTACTTCCTGTTAAATATATACGTACCATTAAAATGTAACATTTTTATGAATTCACCTAATTGTTTAATATATAATTTGTTTCACATTCTTATTTATCTATTATTTTTCTTCTGTCTTTTGTTTTTTGCAATAGTTTTAATATTTGAAGCAATTGAAGGTGATAATCTGCATAAGAAAACGTTAAAAATAACAGATTTTGGTTTAGCACGTGAACTCTATAATACAAAGCGTATGTCGGCGGCTGGCACATATGCATGGATGCCGCCGGAAGTGATAAGCAGGGGCACGTACTCCAAGTAAGTATCAAGTAACATATAAAAATAATTATTTTCTAAATATATTTTTCATTTATACTTTAATTCAGATCATCGGATGTTTGGAGTTATGGTGTCCTGTTATGGGAGTTAATTACTGGAGAAACACCTTATAAAGGTTTCGATTCACTATCAGTGGCATATGGTGTTGCTGTAAATACTTTAGCTTTACCGATACCTAAAACCTGTCCAGAAGCTTGGGGAAAACTCATGAAAAGTATAATTATTCATAAAATTAATAGAATAATGTTATTTATAAATTTCATTATTATTACTTTTATTCTTCAACAGGCTGCTGGGAGAGTGACCCTCATAATCGACCTGGTTTTAAAGATATTCTAATTAAATTGGAAGATATAGCGCGTTCTGGTTTCACACTAACTCCACAGGAATCTTTTCATACAATGCAAGATGGTTGGAAAAAAGAAATTGCTGAAGTCTTGCATGAGTTACGCTTGAAAGAAAAGGTATATATAGTTTATATATGTATAATACATAATGTATATGTAAGCAATTAGCTTTGTATAAAAAATTCTTTTAAGTTTCATTCAAAATTGTTAGGTGGTGTGCTATATTATATATATATATATAAAGAAGTTATCATTATAGAATTGTATTTATAGTATTATTCATAGTTTCATATATATTGTCATTCATATTATTACATTTATTTTTTTATTATTTTATATGTAGTAATTATATTAAAAATTCACATGCTTCGAAAAAAATTTGGTTCATTTCTTAACTTTTTTCACGCATTATTTTGCTAACTAATGAAAAATCGTATTTGTTTAATCATTATTTGCTGAATAGAATAATTTTTTCTAAAAATAATTTATTTATTAATTATTAATGGTTATTTCATTCAGCGTTTTCAATCACTTGAAGAGGTAAGCAAAAGTTTAGTACAAATGCAATATTTTATTGTAGTTTTACTAAAACTTTGTTTATGCAAAGCATGTAAATTTGTTATAGTATAATTAAAGTTAAAAATATTTTTTTTGTAAAACGTTATTTAAAGAATACTATATTATTTTTATAGTATAACAGAACAAGTTTTGGTAATTTATATTTAAAAAAAATTATTATATATATTTATAGTCTAACTAGAAGATCACTTACACATATAAATTATTATAAGTAATATATTTTACATTTTATATTGAAATATATATAAATATATATATATTGCTGTTTATCTTATATTTGATTGTTTTTCTATTTGTGTATATATTGGGAAAAATCTTAATAATACTATCATAATGATTTTAACTTATTTTCAAATGTCAGTTAGTTAACATTTATGATGGAAGTACTACCAAGTATTTTTCCATAAAAGATTAATGATTTTCAATATTTGACAGTATACAATATTGCTGTATTGTCAGTCTAAACACTGAATAAAAATCTTCAGATTTATGTATTTAATTCTGTTTTTCAAATATTAATCAATTTTATTTAAACAATAAATATGAACAATAAATATATATTAAAAAAAATAGTTAAATAAATTTTTAAATCTTGAAATATATGTATTGAAACTATTAATAAATTTTATTTTATTTTTTAATTAATTATTAAAACTTCAAACATTAATAACATACATACAAATAACCCTGCGGCCAAAATATAATTTTAAATTAATAAATAGTTATTTAAAATAATAATATTCATATAAACTTTTTCATTAATGAAGTTATCATTTTTTAAAATTTTTTGTTGAATAAATAATTAGCAGTATTTTTATAAACTTTATATAAAAATTATTTACATTTATTATTTTATTTATTTATTGTTAATATAACAATTTATTTATCTTTCCTAACTATTATAATTGCATCAGTTTATACTCTTCAATAATTAAAAATTATATAAAAGTATTTTTTATTTATAGTAGATTAGGATTAAGAATAAATTGTGAATATATTAGAAAGTACCTCTTGTAAGATAAAAATAACAAATAATATAGTAAGAATTGTTAAATTATTATAAATAAGAATTTATAAAATAAAAAAAATAAATAATTATAAATGTTAGCTGCTTAGTTACAATAGTTTTTTTGTTGCACTATAATATAATTTATCTGCACATAAGTTTTTAAAAATAGAAATTGTTTTTTTTTTTCAAATATATGTATTAACTATTTTTATTGTTTGTATTATTATTCCCAATAGTACATATCCCATATATGCACATGAGTTCTTAATAATAAAACTTGTTTTACTTTAACTCTATATATTTATATATTAAATAATTTTATTATTTTTTTATTATTAATAATTATAAATAAATAAAAACTTAATAAAACTTTCTAACATACACAAATTATAAAAAATTAATTAAAAATTATTAAATTATTTTGTTAAAAAAGTAGCATGTACACCACCTTTAATGCATGTTAGTTTCGAAGTTCATTTTAATTTTATAAAATTAAAATTCCTTATTAATTATAACAAAAAAAATTTTGTAAATATTTATAATTAATCTTAATTGATTACAATTTTTAAGGAACTGCGTAATAAAGAAGAGGAGCTGCTGTTAGTACAAGCACAACAAAAAGAAAAGGCTGATCATTTAAAATTAATGGAGGAACGATTGGTGGCACGTGAGATAGAACTGATCGGACGTGAATTAATTGTTTTACAAACTCCTGTACCTAATAAAAGGAAAGGAAAGTTTAGTAAATTAAAGGTATAATATAATATAATTTTTTAATTTTTTTTTTTGATTTTTATATTGAAATACTAAGATAATTTGAAATATTTTTAGGTATTAAAAAGCAAAGAACCTGTAAAAATATCACACCCAACTGATTTTCGTCATACATTGACAACAATTCGTGATAATTCTCGTGTACGCACTGACACACCGCCTGGATCACCTGCCATATCGGGATTACGCATTGTAGCACGTAAGTAAAATGGAATAGTTAATTATTTGCAATGAGAAAGACAGTAGAATATATTGAGGATTTTGTTAAACTTAGTATTAAGTAGATGAAAATTAAAAACTTCTACTTAAAAATTTCCATAGCAATATTTTCGTAACATTTAATATCAAATTTGACGAAAAATTTTAGTTTAGAATAATTATCGACTTCCGAATTTGGCAGTCACATGCCCCAAATGGATCGATTGTTTAAACCAAAAGATTGGTATGAAATAACAACAAAATAAAACGTTTTTATTAATATAATTTAAACTACGTATGCACTAGAAACTAAGAAAATCTTTTGTGATTTCTTCTATTTAAATCACCCCAGTTCAAGACCGACTGCTGTAGGTTTAATTTTAATTGTGTCCGGGACCTAAATCCCAATCGCAACTGGACATATGCGTAGTACGTTTTCTGTTGTTTCTTGATCCTTATAACGAAGTCTTCTGGATGAGAAAAAGTAATAATATCGTATTAATACATTCCAAAATTTTATTTGCAGCATTATAAACATTTTTCTAAAGAAATATAATATTTTTAAAAATCAAATAGTTTTATTAAAATATTTAGAAATCTATAAACTAAATAAAAGTCTTATGGAAAAGCCTTTATAAAAAAACTTGTAGTTGAAATTTGCATTATAAATTTTAAGAAATAGCTCAAAAAAATTTTTTTATTTAAGAATGTAGGTCTTACCATTATTTTAATTCATTCTCCAAAATTTTCTACACCCCAAAATAGTAACAACAACTCTATTAAAAGAAGTAAATCTAAATAATATAATATATACAGTTTGTTTTAATTATTTTTATTTTCCAATTGTGAGCACAATATATATTTTTTTTATTAATTTGTTTAATATTAATTATTTCTTTTTTTTATTAATTTTATTTTAATAATATTTATTTTTGTTTTATTTTTTTTTAAATTGATTCAACAAAAAATGTATACATAATAGTGCCAGATGGTTATAAAGGTAAAACATGGGGGCCTTCAACGGTACATCAACGTGAACGTTCACATTTGCCAACTTTACGTTCTACAGAATGGCATGCAAATGTATCGACTCATGCATCATTTAGCAAAAGCGCTCCAGATCTCGATAAAAAAATTACCCGACAACAGCAGCAAAGAGAGAATAATTCAGGCTCAACTCCAACGTCACCAACGCATCCACCCGCAACGATAATTGGCTTCAATTCACAAGGTATTCGTATAACCACGAACACCAACAGCTACAACAGCGCAAATATGCAAACTGTGTCCAATTTTAATTCATCCAATTCATCTTCGGTACCATCAATGGTTGCAAATGCATTGCTCAATAATAATCATGCTAAAAATAACATTAGTAACAGCATTAATACAGCATTATCCATTAATAGTTTTAATAGTAATAATACCACTACTTCTACTAGTACACTGACCCAGAATAATTATAATAATGGTAAAATTAATATTGGTGGATATTGTAACGATCATTTGCGTAATAGTAAAAAATCTAAAAAGATATTGGGGAAGAGTCATGAATGCATGTTGGAAACATTTCAATATACAAATAATCGTAGTCGTTTTCCTATTATACATACACTGGATAGCGATTCAGAAAGCGAACCAATTACACCAACAACAGGCTGTTTTCCATTTCGTAAAGTCACACCAAATAACACATTACCTGATCGTAGTCCATTATCCGAGCATGCTTGTAATAGTCTTGGTAATAGTCCAGCATTTACACGAAAAAAGTTTTCTTTGGATAGTAAATTATTACCAACAATGAGTCAACAGAATCAGTCACGACTGGCAGTCCATTGGTTTGACAAGACAACTTTAACAAGTCAACTATCTGATAATGATAATATATTATTAACCAAAACGAGTGATCCAGATGCACCTACATATGATCGTTTCTTTTACAAGTCAATGGAGCAATCCTTAAATGAAATATTTTCAACTGTAGGTAATACAGAAGATACAAATTTTCAGCGTTCCACTTCGAATCGATCGTTTTGGCAACGTTCTGAACGTGTAAGTTCAAAGTCAAGCGGCGATTTAACAATGTACAATTCCACTTCACACATCGCTGATGAAAATGTCGAAGAAATGGAAAGTGCATATCGATTTCAACGTAACGGTTCAGGATCTCAGTTTCCACGTCACTGTTTCTTTCGTCAACCATCAAACAGTGATGAACATGAAAATTATGAAAGGAGTGAACTGAAATCCTCTGATACGTCTGCTCAGAATAGTAGCATACATGATATATTACGTCGTTCTACTTCCGGAGATGATCGTTTCAATTCTATTTGTTCCGATCAATCATCATCGATTGATACAAATAACTCGCAACAAGTATCACGGAAGTCATCAGTAACTTTTCAGGTGAACACCTCATCCACTTCACATAATACCTCTTTTGCTTCAATAGAAGAATGGCAAAATAGTTCCATCAATAATTCGATGGACTCACCAATTGCAGCAAATCACTCAATAAGTTTTGCCACTTATTATTCAGATGACAACAATTCAATGAGTCGTATAGCAGCAAATAATGTAAGCGATAATCCAGAAGCAATACGAAATTTTCCTGCATCACGCGGTATATCGGAGAATTCCTTTTTTGCAACACGAAAACTACAGGATGTACAACCAGATCCCGAAGTAATCAAAATGAAAGAAAAATTATTGAAACAACAACAATTACAAGAACAGAAATTACGAAAACAAAAAGAAAATTCCAACAAACTGAAATCCTCCAAATCAAAGTCATCAACAACACATTCATCCTCCGATACAAATTCGTCCAATTCAGCCAAATTTAAAAAGTCTATAATGAATTTTTTAACATTTGGGACGCTGCGCAGTTCGAAAAAGAAATATCGAACAAATTCAAAGAGCGCATATAAATTATTCGAAAATGCAAATGCCGAATTCGCAACCGACATTGGCAATCATGAACCAAAACTACGTACACAATCCTGTGAACAATTGGAAAGTGTATGAGACATAATTGCTTTAAGTAAAAAATAGACAATAATGTGGTAGGAGCTATACTAAATAAAATAGTTGCAAAATAGTTCATAACAATCGCTTAAGGATACTAGCAAGTGTTCGGCTGTTTTCGCACAACTATTCACTAAGAATGAGGAAGTTTATGATGTATGATGTAAATAAAACTAAACTGTTCTGTCAATGAATATTGGTTATACCTAGTTATAAATATGTTTATATATAGTTTTGTATTCATACTAAAAACTATGTAGATATGTAGATACATATGATAATGAATGAAAGCTTTATTAAAGGAACAGTTCACATAACCTTGTAATGCTACTAGTCTGGGGTTATCATTTTTCATAAAAAACATGTTCTTTTGAATAAACAATTAGTTTCTCAATCGAACAGAATTGCTGGTCCTGTAGTTGTCCGCTTAGGACTGCCTTCTACGTATCTTAATATTTAATGAATAAATATAAAAGATAAATATAAGAGATTTTGGTGTACGCTTTACTGCACAGAATTCGCTGGTCCCATAGAAGGCAATGCGATGCTGACAGTCATAATCACGTCAAGTGTGAATTTCTTGTAATTTTCAATGCAAGTTAAAATTTTGACATTGAAAAAATAGGAATTTGGTTTAAAATTTGAACATACTGCCAAGCTTTCTGGACCTGGTCACAATAGTCACAATAGTGTTGTACACTAATAAATGTCAGGTTAGTTGCCCTTTAGGAGCATAATTACGCAAAAAATATTACATTTTCAAAACAGGCACAACCTAAAAGTAACAAAAAGATAGTTACAGTACGAAATAATTGAATGTAATTTATTAGTAACTAAAGTCATAATGCCAAATTATGTATTAACAAAATGAATAGTTAATCAGTGAATTGTAATTATTTGCATTTTGAAAATAAGCCGAACTTGCTAATATCACCGCTTTTTGCATTTTTTTAAATGACACTTTATATTTAATTTATAGAAACGTGTATTATACAAATCGGAATTTGCATTTAAAATGCCATCTAAACCATGTTTTATATTAAAACCTTTAAGTGGACGTAAAAGTTGTTGCTTAAATAAAAATAAAAAAAAAAAAGAAATTCTTCATGCCGTATTAGAAAATAAAAACAAAAAAAAAACAATTTTACTTACCATAATTTTTTGAACCATTTATCATGTTTGGATATAAATATTCCTAAGTAGTCATCATTAGAAATAATTTTATATTTAAGTATATAGAATATTATAAGTTTAAACAGACTTGAGTGCCTTTTATAGTTTAAAACAAACAAAAAAAAAATTTAATTATAGGAAAATAATTGCATTTCAATTTTTTAAATGTATGCTTAAATATAGTATATAATTTATTATTATTTTTAAAAAGTATAATTTAATTTTTATATGCTGTAAAAATGTATAATTTTTTAATTTTTTTTTAAGTCTGCACTTGATAAATTTTTTTTTTTATTATATACAACAACACATGACTAAGTACTGAAAATTATATTCTAGTTGTATAAATATTTTCAACTTTTTATACTGCTTTCCTAAATATTTGTAAATAAATAGAACTAAATATTAATTCTATTAGAATTTTTTTTTTTTGCCTTATATATTTTTAATAACAAAATATTAAAATCATATTTACTTTTTTTATATAAACGATAAATATTGTTAAATGAAAACGAATTCGTTTTTTGATTCTAATAGAAATGTATTATATAGTATCTTTTTTAAATAAAGCTTCAAATATTCAAGCTGTTCATAGTTTTTAACATTTTAAAGTTCGAATACACTTGTAAAGAAGCATTGTATCGAAAATGTTCGAACACATCTAAGTGTTCAAGTATATAGATAAAAGTAAATAAAATGAAACTAGAATATAACATAAAGCTAAAGCATAACTAAAATAAAACAAATTTTTAAAGCAGATATGCTATTCGTACAATTCGAACATCTTCAAGCAGCTTAAACATTTTAAGTATTTGGTGCAAATGTTCGAAACCAAGTATACTCGAAATAACTGAATACCGTCATGATCGAGTATAAATGAATCCAATATAAAATAACTCTTTATTTAGAATGCGGTTATTCAAATATATTTAGAATACTAGGCATTATTCTATAGCATTTACTTATATTTAAAATACCATTCTTATGCTTCAGTACTTAGTCATATAATTAAAATTTATCAATACTAAATTTTTTATTTTATAAAACTGTGACAACTTATTTTTATTTCTTATTAAAAAATTATAAATTAAATACTTGTTTATAAAATTATATTTTTATTTTTAACTGTGATTTTTAAAATCGTTTGTATTATTATTCAATTTCTTCTATTATTGACTTATGTGTTCTGTGCTATTCTATTTTGGTGTTTATTAATTTATTTAAAAAACAAATTTTTAAGTAATTATATTTAAAAAATAAACCTCTTATTTTTGGCATATTTAATATTTTTATGTTGATTTATTTAAGATAAACAATATTCCATACGAAAAAAAAAACCATTAAAAATTTTAATTTATACAAAAACACAAAAAATAATAAAAAAAATTCATAAAACAATTTAATTTACTTTTTTACTTATAAACAAATATTGGTTAACATGTAATAAAATTCCCAGTATCTGAAATAGAAATTTGGTGTAGGTTCGTCAAATACTATACTAAAGTTCCCCAATAAAACAAAAACCAAACAAAAAAAACAAAAAAAAATAATAAATGACAAATAAAAGTATTTTTTTAACTCTTTGGTTTGCTTGTGGTATATTTTTTATTTAATTAATAAATAAAAATAAAAAAAAATTTTATTATATGAAATTCATATTATTATTATTCTGGACGCTGCGTTACATATGAATCAGGTTATAATTCCAAAGATGATTGGTGTTCACAACTACCTGTACTGGCTGGCGGTGGTCCTAAGCTTCCAATAATGTCTCCAAATCCCTACCTTTTAAGTCGTTTCACTTCTAACATACCAATGCCAACACTATACGCTGGCGACTCCGCACGTAAACCAAAATTATCAGTTATTGAAGTATTGCTATATAATATGGCAGCGTTATTAGCCGGAGTTGCGGCTGGTTACGATGTACGAGTATCAAACGTATCGCCCGTGCATCCCACATTATTGAATGAGGTGCCTGCACTAAAAGCACCAATTGATATGCAATTTTCAAACATTGTTGATGAACGTAGATTTGCTGCTAACACTTATCATGGCACGGGTAAACATTGTCGGTGAGTTAAATCATCACTACATAAAAAATTTAACAATATTAATTCATGTATATTTTTATCATTATAAATTACAGCATTCCATTAAGTGCATTAACATATATGCCCACAGAGGAACATTTGATTATGCGTCGTTCCGAATCTCCACAACCAATAGGCACACAACCATTTTATTCAAAAATTATACAACCAACTTCAAGTTTACAAAACACTCCGTTTCATCAACGTCACGCACAACAACATCATCAATTACCCTCAACAATTTCTACTACGAGTGGACTGGGTTCCAATTTTACTACAAATACGTCTGGTATGTTATCAACTTCATTAGGTAGTCATACACAACCTCCAACACCGTCGCCTCGTCGTAAAATTAGCACATCGTCTTTCACTGAAAATTTTGAATATTCCGAATGTGATGAACCAGCTCCTCCACTGAGACCATTTGAACGCTTTGCTGTAGAAAATAATATACGACAGACTTACACACCCGCTGATTTCCTAAGGAATGGACCGAGCTTTTCCAATGATGGCGGAGCTTACGGTGCTGGCGCACATCGAACTGGATATTTTGGTAAGACAGTTTTGAGAAGTTCTAGAATTAAAAATAAGTATATTTGAAAGCATTAAAAAATCTTTTAAATAACTAACAAACGAACCAAATAAGTACAATCAGGGACATATGCTAAACTTCAAACTATACTTTGAAAATTTCACCCAATATTCACAGTTATTCTTGAATGTTTCAGATACTTGTATTTTTTATCAAACACCATAAATATTATATTAAGCAATCAATAAATTATGAACAAGAATTTTGGAAAATACTTATCATCGTTATCAGAATAAACTAGCATTTCCCATATTCTTTTCCTAACGTTACGGGGATTTCGTCTGGAATCAGTTAAGAAATTTTCTATTATCACCGAATTACCGAGTGTATCTTTTTCTTTGTACCTAAAATAAGAAGTGAGAGAATAAAATTGGCAACTCTTCAGATCGCGGTCAGAGACAAATAGGAAAGCAGAGGAAGTTCTAAAGAACAACTTATAAAATTTTCAAAATTATTTTTCTTATAAAAGATCATAAAAAGCCGATTTATATTCCTTGAACCCTTCTTTCTTTACGATATATCAATTCAAGTGCAATTGCATGTGGCCCATCGATCCTTATGTCCCACTTTGCTAAGCCCGTGGGTCGACTTAACCACTACATTTTGTCAAAATTTGTCATGACATTAAAATCTTCAATACAATTGGCTAAAATTAATCCTTATAGTTCTATCAACTTCTAACTTTTTTTAAAGTCTCTTGGTATATCGTAATTTTCATGCTTTTTATATAAATTATATACTTAGTTCACAGAATTAAATAGTACTTAAGCATAGATATTAGAAATCTCTTTCGCTATTTTAAAATTGAACATAAATAATACAGAACTCAGCAGAGAATATATATATTTAAGGAAAACTCCAAACTGTACACGAATTCATTATAGACAATATATTTATAGACAATATAAATAAATATTTTTTTCCAGATATTCAAATATTTTTATTTTACAGGTTCAAACTATTTCCCATATCGCCCGGATATCAATCTATCCTATGAACGTGATTGTAAATCATACCCCGACTATTCATATGACTATAATCATCGCTTGCCCAACTACTATGACTATGAGTACAATACCCAACACTCACAACAACAACAGGAACTTCAGCAACAGCAAACACGTTCACCTCCTCCCAGAATGCCACAAATGGGTATAACTGCAGCTGGTCATCGACGAACACCATCCACAATATCAAACAGTTCCAATTTTAACCAAAGTTTCACTTTGGAACGCGATGAATTACCAACTTCTCTCTACGATTATAATAATTTAAATGTAAATATTTCCACCACAACGACTGATTATGCACAATTTCGAGAACCTACTAAAGTGGTTCCGCCACCCAGCAAACATGAACTTTATAAAAGTTCACCGAAACTAACAAATCGTATTACTAGTCGTGCTGAAATTGTGGGCACTAGTTTAAATCGAATGCGAGACTATGAAAACTTACATCCATATATGGGTGAGAGTCCTTTACATAAAACTAAATTTCAACAACAACAACAACCGCAGCAACAAATTATATTGCTACAACAACAGCAGCAACAGCAACAACAACAAAATCAAATTTCAACAATACAAATAAATGCTTACACGCACACACGCTCAACACCGTTGAGTCCAATCAATACTAAGCCATTGGTGATACAGGAAAGACCAGCGAGTTTGCCGTTTGAACAGACTTTGCTTGGCTTCAGTAATGCCGGCACGAAATTACGTTCCTCACTTAAGAAGTACAACTATAAAACGAGTAATGGTACAACAGGAAACACTTCAAATGGTCTTGCAACGGCAGGTATTGGCAGTTTGCTGGGTACCAATGGTGGGAGCATATCATCGCAACAAGGTACACCAACTAATCCCACACCACCCGATTCACTTACCAGTGATGACAGCTCATATTTAAGTGCCAAAGAAGGTTCGATTTCATCACAACATAGTCGTGTTCGTTTCAGTCCAGAAGCATATCTGGATGCGAATAGTGGAATAGCCAAAAATGGAAATCTAACCACAACAACAAATACAGCGAATACGACGAATACACAATGTCATGAATATGTTAATCGTGCTTCAATCTCTATAATGAATCGTCGATTATCACGTCGTCACACAAATGAGCTACAAAGTACAACAGCAGCGCCATCTTCAACAACATAGCAGGCTATACTGGCAACTTTGCAAATGGCACGTAGTCCTGGCGCTGTTATAAATAATAGCACATTGTCATTAAACTCACAACAGCAACAACCACAACAACAACAATTACCTTATCGTTGGTATTCTGGTGCTCGACGTTCACGTTCCGCTCATTATGAATATAAATTGTAAATAATGTAGAGAAAAACAATTCATCTAATTAATATCGTAATTTTTTATTTTTAATATATAATTTTAGTTCTTTTTTATTGTATATTATTAAGAAATTTATTTCCAGCTTATATAGCACATATGCATAAATTAATTTATAAGCATTTGTTAATGTTAAGCAGCCAATTTGTATATAATATTTTTTATATCAAATTTTCATACTGTCTTATTCTATTCAGCTAAATAGTTAATAATTAAGTTAATACCTTTTTGATTTGCTCATATAAATTAGCTTAAATTAAGTTTTAATTTATGCCATTATTAATTAAAATAACTTTTTAGTATCATTTTTATATTAATGCATTATTTCACAATCTAAGTCATAATTTCAGTTTATACTAGAGTTTTAAATATATTCTAGCATACTATTCGAAGTTTCGTTCGAAAACAAGCGAACACATATGGTGTTCGAGCATTTACTGTTATACCTATCTGTGTATACAACAATAAAAATAAAATGAGAAATAAAGCAAATTTGCTATTCTACTCGAACATTTAGTTTTCTTTTCGATCTACATGTTCGAACATAAGTATACTTGTGCTGTTCGATGATTGTAATGCTCGCAGAATTTGAAACACTAGATTACAGTAATTTTTTTTTGTTTCCATCAGAGTCATTTTAGAATAAATTGTATATAAATTAATAACTCAAAGAAATTAAATATATATTATTTACATTAATTAAAGAAATTAAATATATTTTAATTGAAGTTCACATCTCCACTGGTGGGATCGTTATATCTATAAAATTTGGTGATTAATTTGTATTGAATAAATATGATTGTAATGCTCGAACAGTTTGAAGTAATATATTATACTAATTTTATTTTTGTTACTATCAGATTCGCTCTAGAGTAGACTGTATGTTTATAGAAATCAATATCTTAAAAAAATTTAATATATTTTATTTAAAGTTTAAAATAAAATAACTATGTGCACTCAAATTATATCTGGTGGGATCAAAAATTGTATGATAGTTTATATTAAAAAAAAGTTTCTAATGCTTATTTAAAGGAAAGCGAATGAATACCCATAACATTATACCTATATCTTTAATAAAACTTATATTAAATTCGATAAAGATTATTGTAACCCAGTGCTCACTCGTAAATTAAAACAAAAAAAGAGAGAATAAAAAAAGAGAGAGAGAGAGAGTAATAAAAACCAAGCTGTTATCATATAGTAGTGTACCTTCTAAATTGTGACTGCAGAGAACATAAAATCTATTTCCAGTGTTTCTCAAAGACTGCCTTTTCAAGTAATGTTAATAAGTTTATATAACTTAAATATTTTAGATAGCTTTTATATTTTGTCTCAAATAAAAACAGTAATACCGCATTTATACATAGACCAGTCGAATTTAAAGAGATATGAAATCTATTATTCAATTTCATGTGCTTGGGAGTAGGTTGTTAAATGAAGGGATACGGAATAAACTCCGAAATCTATAGCAATTGTTTTAAACCATATCTATACTTTGTCATAAAGTTCTTCTATATTTACTTTGATGATTTATATTTATAACACCTTATGGACTGCATAAAGAGTATAAAATTGCAACACTCACTTTCATAAGATGTGAACTGTACTGGTAGAAAACTAATAATAATTTCCAGAACTTTAATATTGCTGTTTAAAATCTATAAATAATTTCATTATTATTTATTTATAATAAACATATCTATGAAGCTTTACTTTCAGTACATTCTACATATATCATTGATTTTAACCATAACTATAATTTTTCTCATCCATGTTTTCTACTCTCAGTTTCTTCCTTAAAAAACCTCTTCTAATAGATAAGTAGTAAAAAATGGCTTTACTCACTTTTGGTTAGTAAGAATTCGACTATCAGAAGACTAATAAAATCATTAGCAGATCTTTATCATTCCTGTTTAATATTAATTACGAAAGGCATTATTTTCAAACATATCTTAAAAGCTTTCCTTTCAATAGCTTTTGTCTTTTATAAATTCATTAAATTTTTATAAAAAAATATCTGAAAAATATTCAAAAATAACTGCAAACACCCAGCCATCTAAATGTGAAGCGAAATATTAATATAATTATTGTTAACTACTTTCATACAGAGTATCTAACCTCACTTTCTTGTCAATAAACCCTAATAAGACTATTTATATTAAAATTTGTTATTAATACAAATGAAACTTAATTTTATTTTTCTTTTGATTAAATTTATTTTTCTATTAATTTTAAAAATTTTATAAAGGAATCAAAAAATTGTTTACTTAAAATATATTATAAATATTTATAATATAAAATTTTTAAATTATTTAATTGTATTACAAAATATATATATCTTCGCTTGCCAAATGTATGTAAACAAAAAAAATGTAAATAATAGATATAAAATAAAATTAATGTTTAAAAATAAAACGTTAACAAAGTCTGTATATTCATAAACTTTTAAATTACGTATAGAATAAATCTAAAAATAAAATTTTAATAAATAAAGCATAAATTAATTTGATTAAAAATTAAGAACAAAAATGTATATATATATGCCTTGTAAAGCAAAAATTTAAATAACAAATATAATATATAATTAAAAACTAATATATATATAAATATATATATTGAAAAAAAATATAGCGATATACAATGTAATCAAATTTAGCTTTAAGTGTTTCTGCATTTTTTTAAATATATATTAAAAGTATATATTAATATATATATAATAAATATTTAAGGCTGAAGTCATTCACTTTTTACCATGAACAAATTTAATAAAGATTTATATAAAGTATTATTAACATAACTTAAAACCTTTTAAAATCATTAATAAAATATATATATAAAAATTTTATAATTAAAATTATAACATAAACACACATTTTTTGATTGATTATTAATGTTAATATCTACACCATAGCAGTTTTATATAAAAAATATTTTGCATAAAATGTGCAATATTAAAATGCAATAACTGACTAATTCAGCATTAATAAAAATATACGTGATTAATATATAAAAATAATATTAAACAATTAAATTCAGTATTAAGCCAAAAACTATTCAATCTCAATAACATGCAATTATAATTCCACTTCAGTTTGAATTTAACTTAAATATAGCACTCATACGCAACGTTGAGCAGTGTTTTGTGTAATAAGGTACAAAATACAATTTTTGTATTTAATAATTATTTAAATATATTTTATTATATATTGTACAATGATTAGAAAATTATAATTAAATTTTAAGACATATTAAATACTTAAAGAACACAAAACTATAAGTACCAATGAGTGTATACTTTTTCAAAAGTACCACATTACTGCAACTTCATATATATACTCACATACCGTTTGTTCTACAAAATGAAAAAACTTTAAAGAATATATTTGCATTTCTGGAATTATTTGAATTTAAAAATTTCTTAAAAATTGCATTATGTTTAAAGAACTTATTTAAAATTATGAACAACTGTGCTACTGAATCTCAACTAATGATGTCTAACATTATATTATATTATATATAACATAATGTGGACTGCTTTGAAACTATTTCATACAAATTTTGTATAACAATATTAATAAGAGTAGTTCTAATATTATTTAAAAAGATTTTCACATATCACCAAAAACATACCCATTTGTATCCATTTGCAGAGTGTTGAGGGACCAAACATAGAATCATAGCCCTTCACATAGATCCAGTATTGGATGATATCACAACATAGTTCTCAACAGGCTTTCGCCTAATATCTGTCAGAAAGAACGACGTCTTCCCCGTGCAGCATAAAATGTCCTAGCTCAATCAGGATAAGATTAGGATTTAGCCTAGTGTCAAACATTTATTTGTCATGCATGTACATATCCATTCCAGCGAATGTCCAACTGCAGCTCTACTACCTATGACGTCGCCCATCTGTTCTTATGCTCCGTTGTATACACAAATCTCTATACAGTTAACATTTGGACCGACCCCATTGAAGTAGCAAGGTTTCTACATCTAGACACTTTTTAATTCTCAATTAAAATCCTAAACATCCCCAATTCACTCCTTCTCATTTATTCCCTCTCTCCTTGCCACCAACCATCCACATCCCAACTCATGCATTCGTCTTGTAAAACTTTTCATGTTTTCTGCTTCTAGCCCCCAGTAAGTAACCACAACAATAACCTAAGAGAACCAAATACACAAATTAATAATGTTGAATGCAAAAGACACTTTCATAGCTTTTTCAGCACGTTGACAAACAATTTCTAGATAACTCGTTGTCGTTGGTATTGTAGCTCGAGACGAACTGTACTACAGGATCTCTTTAGTCTTTTATACCCTTTTTATCACGTAAACAAGTGACTACTAAATAACTCGTTGTTTAACCGTTGTTATAGCTCGAAGAGAACAATATTCCAGTCCACCTAAAAGGAATTACAAAATACGACTAACTAGGTTAGGATATCGATTAAATATGTAGTAAGAAGTTTGGGTTATGGAATAAGGAGCGGGTGGAATTTAATTGAAACTAACTTGATCCAGAAAGAAAAATCTTACAACTTCAATAGGTCCGGCTCAAAGATCAAAAGGGTTCATATTTGTGTGAGCTGTAAGACATTTACATATAATGGATAGCAGCTGGGGTATATATAAAAAATTAACGTATGTATGCGGACAAGTGGCTGTCAGAGCATATAGCTATACCCTGAGCTCATTTGAACTACGATAGTTCTTGGTGCAGGAGGAAACCGTCGTTCTTTTCTGGTTATATAAGGTGAAGTGTAGTTGAGATTGGCAGTCCTAATCTTGGAAACGATGCTGCGCTTGTGTGGATAGCTGTTAGTTTACGTTCGTGTTGATTTGCAGTCCTAGTCTTGGAAACGATGCTGCGTTTTTGTGAATAGCTGTTAGTTCACATTCATTTTCGACCTTCATTGAGTTGTTTTCTCCATTACAATCCATTACATGATACAAAGAAAAAGTTCGACGGATAATTTGTGGAGGGAGGGATCTACTGTTTATTTTGCGATTAGGATATCCAAGATAATTTATACTTTGCTTTATTATTAAGGATCTAAACTAAAAGCTGTTTCGCAGTACAGAGAAGCATAAAAATAATTAGGCTTCTTACACAGGGTTCTTAAAAAGTCAACATGTAAAATGGTTTCAATTTTCTTACAGCAGTGGACTAATGGATGCTAATGAATTTTTCATATTAAATTATAAGTTGTACAATTATAATAGGACTTACGATTATTAGACTAGACATTAGACATTTTATTTTATTTTATATAACTTTTTCCGTAAATTTTGTATAAATTTATTTTTCCACAGTTTATATAATGTAAAGAATTTTTGAAAACCTACTAGACAGCCGTAGCACCTGCTCAACCCGCATGTTTGTCTGAAGTAATAAAACACTGGTCCATTGTGTACTGGACCCCTATAAACATTATACACCTATTGTATACATAATATTACTATTGTTCTTAACAACCTTTAACAATAATGATTTTATTTAAAAAAACGTATTGATTATAAACTATATTAACATGCGGAATGTGGATCAATAAAAATATTGAGAAAGCAGAAATTTTTGCCGTGAAATTTCAATTATAGAAATCATATTAATAAAATTTATAGATTATAAACTGTATTGATTTAAAAAAAAATGCAATTTTTTAGAAAAATTTTGTAAAATGAAAAATGTATTAGTCTTGCCTGTTTATAATATCTTCATGTCCCCACTATAATCAACCCGATGTTACCCAAATATAAGCCTTTGCTGAAATGTGTAAAAAATTTAGCTTTAATATATTTGTTATTTGCTTTTTTTTTGGTTTTAAATTAATAAAAATTTGAGAAAATATACAAATAATAAAATCTGAAATAAATTGTTGAAAATCCTTTAAAGATAAAGAAAGAGTTATGCTTCAGCTTAATAAATAAACTGTTATATGTTATAAAGTTTTCATATGTATAGTAAAATATATAAACAGAAAATTTTTAAATATTTTAAATTTTATATTTAAAAAAAAATATAATTAGCTTAAATAATAATTTGCCTCAGAAAGTTAAAAGCATATAAATAATTATTTTAGTAAATTTTTATTTTTGCTTTTTTTTATATTTAAGTTTTATATTCGAAATACTAAAAAAAATTTCTTTTAAGATGATTTGTTTAAAAGGTATTATCAAAAAGTTCAAATAAATTATTTTTATAAAAACATATACATTTGTTTTTTATGTTATAAGTTTTGGGGCAATCTTTAAATTTTGAACAAAGTATGATCGTATATGGTATAGGGAGACAAATTGTAACGGCCTTGCAGAGAGTATCAGATTCCAGCCATTTATGTTATGGACTTAATCAAAATAGCAATGTTTGTGCTTATCGGAGTACTAACATGACAAAGTTCTTTGCACGAATCAATCTTTATTGGGATTACAAACTAATCGACTCCAATGTCAAGGCGACTTTTACTTCACTGCCTGGCACAGTTAATAAAAATAGACTTGTCAGAGCAACATCTATTTTATACCACATATATCACATTATTATCAAATCTCAGAATGGTTACAGGCTCCTCGGGGAGGTATGCAGATCTGAGGTTAATTATTGTTTAGTCTGATGAAGAAATAAACAATCCAGTCAAGGCGCTACTCCGGCCAGGTTAGACCTATTGTACCAGTTTCACTATTGATTAAACAAAGTCCCTTAAAGCTTTGTGAATTATGTCTAAAACTAAATCTAGAGAAGAGTTCTTAATCTGTTCTGATGACAGAAATTCTTTATGAAACAGGTTGCTTCTGTGATTCAACATATTTATATACCAACATCTACATAATGGAAGTCTTTCTATAATAAAAAAAAATATATATATGTCGGGTCATTTTTATTTTATCGTCATCATGTCATCGTATAATATCATGTCATTTTTATTTTAATTTGATTTGTAACAAAAAATAAATTTAAGGGCTAATGTTTAAATTTTGATTGAATGTAGAACGACAAACGTTATATTCTTGCTCTTTCATATTTAACACTATGTATGTGCTTTTAACATTCTTTAGAAGAGACATCAAATTTTTTTAAGAACTTCAAAATTAAAACATAATTTGATGGCTCTTCTAGCTCACTCTCCTACCGCTAGTTTTTACAAGTTATATAAGAGTAGTTAATATGCATTCTTGAATATATCACTCGGTTTAAACTCTCTTGTTTTATGTTTCAATGAAATACAAAATTAAGTTATATTTCCAAAGTAATTAGTTAATTTTATTGCCAAATATACTTGTAAAAAACGTTCAGAACATATATAACGTTTTTAAATGCAGGTTCTTCTACAACACACCGAACAATAGACATCAATCGCATATTTTAATCCCACACATGAAAGTTTATTTCTTGCATTCCCAGCGACTCATTCCGACATATATTCATGTCTCTCAAAGCAAGGTTTTTAGACGTTTCTCCTTTAAAACCTTACGCTGTAATTATACATATAATAAAATCAACTCAGATTTGTAATTAAAATGATATATATGGTATTGTACTTACCCAAGAAATAATTCACACAAAGGCTCATAACAAGTCGTTCCATTCAACTTCAAATAGGTTTCAGAATGGTATTATACCTAAAAAATTATTGCGAAAAAAATAAATTGGTTATGCTTGGTACTCAAAATAATATGCTTCTTCTCTTACCAAAACTGATATTTTTTTTAACTTTTTTTACGTTTTGCTATACATTAGGCCAAGCACACATCATGTTGAAATCGCTATGCATTTATATATTGTACTTAATTATAATTTGGAGTTTACTCAACCCCAGTTAAATTTCAATTTTTATCAACCTTAGACGTTCAAAAGTACTGCCAACCAATGTTTTTTTAGGTTTACTATATTAAATTGTTGAATTGCAGTATCCAGTATCTGATACATATTTAATACTAATAGTTTAATATTTAAATTAAATAAATATGAACCTACCAGGAATTTTCTTAGTACAGTATTCAGGTCCTATCCATTTTATCCTCACCTTTCTCGGTTCAATAATGGATGTTCTGGAATTTTAAACTATGGACTAAACTACATCCTTGACTGAATACTGCTTTTGAATTGGCTGGCCATTATGAACTACATATTATTTTGAAGCTTCATTATTGAAAAATTCTGAACAGAATAACTCCTCTGCACTCTCACACTCACATTCCAACTTTTCATCTTCACTGGAGATGTCTTTACTATTACTGGATTCATCAATTTGTTCATTGGAAGCGAGCTCTTTGTTTATAGATTTTAATACTCTCTTTAGTACCTCTCCAATTAAATTATTATCATTTGAAGTGTAGATTGTAAATATTTTATCTTGATCAACACTATTTGGTTCCGCTTTATTAGTGTAAGTTAAAAGTATTTCTGGTATTTCAAATATATTTGATTGCACTTCAAGCTTTTTTAAAAATTGATCTACAGAACGATCAATAAAATCTTGTTCAAGCTTTATTTGACTCAAGTTCTGCGACCCATTGGAACATGATGCGAAGCTCCAATTATTTTCCATCTTAAGTTCAGAAAATGTGAACAATAATATATATAAAAATTATAAAAAAATTAATATTAAATTAAAATAATATAACTCACTAGTTCGGTTTGAGATGCGGTCATTGGTATTTCCTCATTTTGAACAACATTTTCAGATACAATTTTTGATTCAACTTTTAAATAGTTTATACACATTTTAAGGGCCTTTTGCAAATCGGGATCTTTCAGTACTTCTTCACTCAATATATCAATGATTGATACATCCTTTTTCAATACAACACAAGAATAAAATGAAATTATATTTAATAATAAATTTATAAGGGAAAAACCACTTACGTCCGTTTGGCTACTTTTGGAAACCATTTCTTTTATTTCGTTGTCGTTACCATTATCTTTAGAATTTGCATTTTCCATGTCTCCTGCTAATTTCTCTGTGTCGTCCATCAAAAATGTAAATTTAGAATTGACTGATTAATTTAAAAACTGATAATTTTTTACTTTTAAATTTGGAAACATTACCTTGGATATAAAATATAAATATGCATACAGAAAAAATTTCTTTTCATTTATGATTTATATTCCTTCAAAACAATCAAAGCTTACTATTAATTTTTATTAAAGTTTTATTGTCATAAATCATTACGATATCAGTAAGGATACCAGACAGACCATGGATCCAAAGATAGCTTACGGCCAGCCAAATTAACTTAATCTAATTTTAAATAAGTTTTATTGTTATAAACTATTACGACATTACTAAGGATACCAGATAGACTGTAGATCCATTTATAGCTTACGGCCAGCCAAACGAACCAAACTTAATTTTTATAAAAGTTTTATTGTCACAAATTACTATCGTATCAATAAGGAAACCAGATAAACCGTAGATAAATAAAGAGCTTAGAGTTAGCCAAATTAACTTATTCCACTTATATATAAGCCTTATTATCATAAATTTGACGGGTGCCAAATTTAAGAATGTAGTTCATAGCACAAAGTCCAATCTTGATCGCAGCGACACAACTCTTCCCTTTAATTGATGAGTGGGTTCTTTCTGGTTTTAATATATGCGAACCTTTGAACTTGTGTACCGTTCAAGAAGAAATTAAAAATAATTGATTATATTTACATTAACCATTTAATAACAATACATTCCATTATATATTCTAACTATTTATTATTATTGCAAATTTTTTTTTTGTACTTCTGAAAAAGTCTTAAATAAATAAAAAAAAATGAAATCAGATTAAATAAAATTAAATACGTTTACTGGCACAAAAAAAACGGTTAAGTGTTAAAACTAAAAGTTAAAAATATGCAAATAGACTTGAAATAAAATTTTATGAACTCTGCGAAGTTTCGACAAACTCCCAAAAAAGCCGTCTCAGCAAGGGAGAAAAGTTGTTATCTCCATAATTATGCATCGCTGTCTATGCCGTGTACAAAAACTTAAAGGTTGAGTGCAATAAGCTCATCCAAAAATTGCTGGCAATTGAAATCAAACAACAAAGGCAACGCAGTAAACAAAAGCACTACTTTCCAAAACTGTGGAACACAGCAGAGGCGTCGACTAATAAAGATGACTTAAAAGCACTTTTAAAGTTAATCAGGGAGATAAGTGCCAAGAGAATATTTGCCTTGCAGATGTTAAGGATAAAAATTGTTCCCTGTCGTGAATAAGAGTGAGCTGCTTTCAGTTTGGGAACGTAACTTTAATAGAACTTTAAATATCTGTAATGGAAGTGTGTGAACTTAAGCAGCTGGCGGCGTTAAGAAGGCGTAATCCAAGTAAGTCAATTAAATGCTACCCACCCTGCATGAGAGCAATTCAAGTCATTCTAATAAGTTTGGCAAATCGTGCTTATACTGTGAAATATCAGCAGAGTTTTTTTGTATTTCTTGACTTATTGACCGTAATATTATATATGCTATTTCATTCTAACATAGCGAAAAATACCAGTTATTGTAAAAATTGTGATGAGTGGAAATTAACGAGTAGCAATGAAATATTAATACAATGTAATGATATTAAAAATTATTATAGTACCTGTAAATCAAAGCTTTACCAACAGATGCCTAGGTGATATTTTGAGAAATTGGTGGCCACGTGAAATTTAAATATGGAATTTCTTCAACGAACAAACCAAGAAGATATCAACAAATAATCCAAGCGTCGGAAATTTAATTGGATCGGCCACAATCTTCGAAAGGACGAAATATGCCACGCAATACTTCAATGGAACTCAGGTCAGAGGAAGATCATGTAACACCTGGAAAAAAGCGATAACAAATGAAACCGGCAAATCTCTAAATGAATTACGTTATATTGCTAGATATAAAAATAGTTGGAAATTCTATGATTCTAGATTCAAGTCTATGATCCTAATGGATTTTCAAAGTTATTATAAATTAAAATTTCTTGGTTATACTGATTTTTGTTCTACTTTTAGTTTTATTTATTAAAACTAATTTTATTAAATTAATTTTATTTATTTTATTATTTTTAGTCCTGCTTTAAATATATTAAATGGACATTTAGTTGAATTCAGTACAAATAATATATAAATTGCTATAATAACAGAAAACTACTAAGTGGTCTTTACCTGTTCACATTTCCAAAAACTAATTACTATCGTTCTAGAAGTACATGTTAAGCAGTTAACTGAAGATTTTGAGAAAAGTTAGGTTACTTCATACTCATAAGTAACAAGTTTACTTTTACAGACGTAATTTTATCTATAAAGGAATAAGGAAAAGCATAACGTCGTTATCCTACATACGGCATTTCGGAAAACTATTCCCCAACCCAAATTCAAACGATTTTGTGCTTATTCAAGATAGTTTAACAAATTTTTTGAATAGATTTTTATACTCATCTGCCGGAATTGCTTTTAATATGTCTACTAAAGCGTTTTTGATGATCAGCATAGAATCGAAACGATACTATTCAATCGTCTCAATTTCATCTTTAATTTTAATTTGGGGAAAAGCGATTAGTTGAACAGAGACTATTCTTATAGAAATGATGGATGGTCGATAAAATGTTGGCTTGTAGGTCAAGTTTTCAAACACTACAAAATAGCACAAAGCCATGTACGATTGTGACTATTATACAATAAAAACTAACTGTCAAGTGACTCTTTATATTCCGATCGAATTCGTCAAAATTTTGACCCACAATCGCTTTGGAACACTTAAGTAACAGTCAGCGTTCTCTATATGTTTATATTCTGATCATAATCGTAAAATTTTGACCCACAATCGCTATGAAGCACTTAAATAACATTCAGCGTTCACTATATGATTATGTTTTGATCATATTCGTAAAATTTTGACCCACAATCGCTTTGGAATACTTAAGTAACAGTCAGCGTTCTCTATATGTTTATATTCTGATCATATTCGTAAAATTTGGACCCACAATCGCTATCAGTGGCGGAGCTAGACCAACTTTGCTCGTCGGCGACATCAGAATTGCAAGGCCCCCTTTATAACCAAGTTGTAAAAGTAAATAAGTTACATTCATTAATATGACAAACCATGATTGAAAGTTTTATTGCTAATCAAATTAAAATAAACAAAAATTAAAATAAATGAATGTTCCTGCTTTTAGCCTCACTCAATTTTTTATTAAATTATATCATAATTTCCGCCAGCTGTTATTTTTGCTTCAGTTTATAGAATTTCCAATGAAGATAGTCTCTCTTGGATCATCATACTTTTCTAGTACGTCTTAAACAATTTTAACTTGGCTTCTTTCTTTTTGTCGAAGCTATACTGACTGGAACTGTGAACATGAATCTAATTACTATATAAACATTTGAGAATACTTCGAATATGGTTAATGCCATTATCAAACCAAATTGTTCAAAATATTTATTAAGTGCTTAGAATCCACAGTGGGTAAGTTTTTGTGAGGCCCTGCAGGCGCGAGGCCGTCGGCGGTCGCCGACATCGCTGACGCCTAGCGACGCCATTGATCGCTATGGAGCACTTAAGTAACATTTTGCGTTCACTGTCTGATTATCTGTAACGAATATATTGTGAACGGTTTCGTTGAATCAAAGAAAATGATCGGAATTGTTTTTAAACATCATTTTCCATTACTACAAATATACATATCTAAAACCATTAGAAGTACTAGAATAAAATCTGTTGCTCTTTTTTAGTTAGACATTAAAGACTTGTGTCAACCTTGAATGCATCCAGCAGCCTCCTTCAATTGGAAAGAAGGATTCTTTATTGAATCAACTGAAGACGGGACATTTTTAATGTTTTCCCTGGTTCCCAAAAAACCGACGTCTTCACAACTTCGAACTTATAGTTACCAATAGTGTCGTGGGATCCAAAACGCTCGCAAAATTTTTTTATTAAATAAAATAAAATACAGAAATAAATAAATAAATATATCATTTATAAAAACAAATAAAATAAATAATTCATTTATGTGAAATAATTTTTAAAGCGTTCACTTCAATAATTCCATTTATTTGGCGACTTCAATTTCTATGCAACTTGCCAATTGTTGAGTTTCCCATAGAACAAAAAGTTTATTTAATTAATAAATTGTACAAACAAATTAAATAATTTTATTAAATATGCATTAAATTCCTTGCCATTTATGCTAAAAGTAATTATAGCTTTTCAAATACTTCTGACTAATTCGTTATATAAATATTCCATTCCATTCCACAAATTGCAAGTAATTCTAGAAATTTTACCAAGAAATTCTTGATTCGGATTAATAGAGAAATAAATTTCAGTATCTTACAAAAAATTATTAAATATGAGCAATAAAGTATTCCAAAGGATAGGTAATTTCCTAAATATATATATCATAAATAAAATATAAAATATATTTATTATTCAATTAAATAATTAAATTAATTTATATACATATATATAATATACTTAAAGCTTCTGTGGATGCTTTAAGTTACTTCAGCATTTTCACTTCAATACAAGGACTCGACATGCCAGAGAATTATAAGTATACTTACTTACTTTATTCGATTTTATGGAACACTTCTGTCAACTTTTATATGCCCTTTGGTTTTATTATGGGTTTCTTCACCATACCAGACGCGGAACTTCAAATTGGTAATCTGCTAACATCACTTCAAGTTAATTTTGATGTTTGTGGTGGATCCTTAAAGTTAATTTATCTCATATTTTTTATACGTAAATTGCGTTCTGCACATGCAATCCTAGACATCTTAGATAAACGTTGTCGTGACGCTGATGAAATAAATGAAATCGAAAATGCAAATACCTTTGGACGTGGTTGTATACTCGCATTTGCATTCGCCTATGTAAGCTACACCATAACTACATGTTTAGGTTCTGTTATAATGGGTCACCCACCATATTCACTCTATTTTCCTCATATAAATTGGCGTCGTTCGAGTATGGAGTTTTTTGCAGCATCCACAATGGAAACATTTTTGATGTTCCAAGGATGTGTACAACAAATTGTGAATGACTCTTATGCTGTGATTTATGTACGAATCTTACGCGCTCATATGAAAATTCTACTCCTACGCATACAAAAGTTATGCACCGATAGGACTTTAAGTTTAGAACAGAACAATCAAGCATTGAAATTGTGCGTAAAGGATCATCAAAATATATTGGAGTAAGTACACCCTATTTGACCAAAAAAATAATTACTTTTTTATTTTAAAATCGGATTATTAAAAATATATTTCAAATTTATTAATTACTTAATATTTCAGACTCTACAATATCATATCTCCGATTATCTCTGTGACCATGTTCATACAACTTATGATAACTGCTACAATACTTGGTACTACTTTGATCAACCTTACGATCTTTGCTCCTGATCTAACTTCACGCATCGGTTCATGTTTTTTTATATTGGCTGTGGTTACACAAAGCTTTCCGATCTGTTATCAGGCGCAGTGTTTAATGGATGAGAGCAGTCGTCTAGCTGAAGTAATTTTACACTCCCATTGGGTGGATCAGGATATGAGCTATCGTAAAATGCTGATTTTTTATATGCAACGAACACAAATTTTAATGAAATTAACGGCTGGAAAAATTATACCCATTAATTTAAATAGTTTTTTAAGTGTAAGTTCTAAAAACCCTTAAAATATCTTAAATATTTTAAAATGTCAACATCAGTTAGCATTGGTGTTAGGCTATAGACTCTAATTACTGCAATTATTTATATCAACTATAATTAATTTAGGATGGACATCTAAACTTTTATATACTTGGAATTCACCTTACAGGTATATTTATATCTTATCCGTCATTTTACCATTGAGTTGCTCTCTGATCTAATCATTATATCTTACGATATATTCAAATATGGTATATCTTTGAATGAGGCGTCAGTATTTTTGTAACTTAATAAAGATACATTCCTATAAATTTTTCTATAAATAAGCTACCTAAAGAATGTACACAACTGTTGTCAATATTAATTTTCATTAGTTTTATTTCCATACATTCCAAACATAACAGAAGTGTACCTTTCCAAATGAAACCATTTATATCTACTTTATTGTCTTAAGAATACCAATATACGTTCAATACAAATATTATATTAAGGATGGATCTCACACCCCTTATAAAAACGGAACAACACAAAGCAATTGATTGGCTCATATTACTCTTCGCTATTCAATATGTGTGACAACAGAAATATCACCAAAGACGTTTCTTACATATATAGGTTGAACGGATGCATATACATAGGTTGAACGGGAAGTTAAAAATATAGAAAAAATTATTTACACCCTTTTTTATATTAATTGCTATATATATATTATAACAATTAAATTTTATATATATTACTTTATATTTTCAGATTGCTAAATTTTCATTTTCACTATACACATTCATCAAGGAAATGAATATCAAAGAGAAATTTGATTTGACTTAACTTTCTGCAGAATGGGGATATAAAGGATATTAGATGCCATTTCTTTATAATTTATAAATTAGAAGCACTGTTTCACTGGCTTATACCCTATCGAGGTTTTAATTCACCACTGTAAGATGGCTGCTTTTTAAATATTGCACCTAACCGGAGGTAATATACATCGATATTTCTGGTACAATAGCCGTTTTTGGACGATCTTCACAAAATTCGTCGTAGAGAATAGAAATATCAAAATCAATCTGGCAATACTTAGTGTATGTGCAATACTTAAAAGGCAGCTTACGTATTAATTTTACGCTTACTTCACTATATGTAGATTATTGTAAATAAAGTATTATATGGAAAAACAATTTACTTTTAATTAAGGACTATATATTTATGTATTGAACGAGAGATTTAAAGCTTATTAAAGCTCATCTTTTATTGCATATCTTAAAGATGCGCTTTCACTATAGATTACTATTTTTAACTATGATTATGATCGGTGAAATCAATTTTCAATTTCACCAAATAATTAATTCAAGAAAATAAATTTTATTGAACAAAAAGTTCTTATAGAAAGTATACCAGTCTCTATGTCGCCTTTATTTTGATGAGAATAAAAACCCCAGTAGCATGGCTTAAAATCCTATAATCCTAAATCCTATAAATATTCTATAAATCTTTTAGCGTAGCTTTCATGTTTCTCTATGCTCTTTGCGGAAATACTTTTAAAGAAACCCACACCACAATACCGATCTTCCTGTTACCAGATTAGATGTAACATAGGGGAAACAAAGTAATGGTTTGAGGCCGTTTTTCCTATTCGTCAGTTGGTTTAAAAATTTGAATTTACATAAAAATAAACGTGATATATCGATTAAAGAAATCTATTTATAAAAAAATATTAAATTTTGTTCTACATTATCTCTAAAGATTAAACAATTTTTTTTTAATTGGTATTTGGGAAAGTGCAGTTGTTAATGAAAATAAATCGCTTAATCGACATAGAAGCTAGTTGAAACACTTATACTGACATCCGACATCACTATAGACTCAATAACTCAGTTTTTATTAGTCCAAATGTCATACATTTTTGACAGTACATCTTTAAACGATCTGCCTTATCGACGTATATAATGGCCAATAGATGACCTTACTATAAAAACCACTTTATAGAAAGTCCAAATCACTTTGAAATATTCCTTGTATACATATACGAAATATTGATTCTATTGGAAAGCGTTGAAAAATATTAAATGTTGACCACTATATCACTATATATCGAAATATACACCTTAAATATGTTCTTTTGATGAAACTTTAAATAAATACAGCAATATCAAAAATAAATTAATAAAAAAAACTTAAGCATATTATTATCTCGACAGTTTCAACAAATAACATTAATATGTACTCCTGTGTCCTCCTGTGAAAAGAAAATCAGTTTATATCCTAACATGAAAGGAAATATACTGATTTCATTGTAATTATTAATAAAATTGATTACGTCGTTCTTATAGGCACTACCATTATCAAATATAATCGAATTGAATAATTTTATATCACAAATCAAACTTTGAAACCCATAATTAAAGGCGTTACCGACAAATCACTACACTTTAATCCAATACCTTTCGGTTATTCTTAGTGAATGAATCGATTTAATATAAATTGAAAACTCAAGTCAGTTCATGTTACCTCCATATAGAGTGACTTCTCTTTGGCTAAATTTATTTTGATTTAAGAACTAAAATAGTTAACTTTTATTTAAAAGGTGGTGCCTAAATATTGAAATATAATAAAGTAATTAATAGCTGCGCTTTGGTGGAACCCCATAATTATTTATAAGTTCGAAGTAAAATTTGGGCTTTATGGTCTATCATTTGATTTACTTCGCCAATAAATTTAATGAACTTGATTTTATATAAAGACCTTGGCAATAAATTTAAAAGTCAATGTAAAATTATAACTCGAATTAGTTCAGTTCAGTTTAGTTTACTCAGTTGAGGTAAATTGTAATATTTGAATTATTAATATAGTAATTAAATATGATAGGGAAAAAAAGAAATTAATTAAATAAAATAATTTAAAAACAAAAAATACTTAAAGGGAATAAAAGCAAATACAATTGAATAAAAAGTAATAAATTTTGAAAAAAAATTATTTCATTCAATATAGTCTGGAACTAAATTGATGATAGTATTTTTAAATATTTATATAAATAATATATGTTTGACCTATATATACCGAGTGTTGCCCGAATAATATAACTTCAGCGGGCCAAGAAATAAAAAACATCATTTGATATGTATTCCATTTTTAGTATAAATCGAAATATAAAATATCAAAGAAAATTCTGCTAAAAATATTTATCAAAATACTTTCCGTATTTCCGTGACTCGTATCGTTAAGAATCAAGAGTAAATAAATCTTTTCGAAAAAAGAGTGCTTTAATTCGTATATGGTACTCCATATTAATATTTAAGAAAGTCGGGAACACCATTCCGACGACGGTAGTGGTGCATAAAGCATTCCATATTCTCACCTAGAAAAAAATATTAAAAGATATTATATTTGACATAATGATGGTTTTTTTGTCTAAGGTTTTTTTTCGCGTAGATTTTTCTTTGTTACTGTGGTTAGTATTGGATAAAGATACAGCTTCAGCTCTCTTTATTTAGTACCAGCAGTTTCGCATTCATATTATCACTATTAATAATTAATATTTAAGTGGAGTATAATATACGAACTCCAATGACAATAGCCGATCTTTAAGCATTTAATAAATGTGTGTAGATTTAACAGTTTTATACTGTTCCACATATTAGTAGTCTGTTCCCCAGAGTGTATAGATTTGCTGCTAGTCAGTTCAACACATTTACAAAGAATGTGTCCAGAAATTTCAACAACCTGCAGAGCCTTATCATACACCCAGCAAGAGTTTTAATATTCTGTATTCTGGGTCAACACTCTACTTAAGGCTTCCTTAGAGAGATTAATAAAATTCTGAGGCCTATCTTAAACCTTTATAATGCATCAAATAGTTCTGAGGTAGGGACTCTTCCCATTGGTTTAGTTTGTTCATATATATTGAATATTGAACATATTGGAAGACTGTTAACGTTTTCGTTGGCTACCACAAAATACCTCAGTTACTTTGTTCCAGCTGTTTGAAACTGTTAAGCAGTCAATTTTATTTTCAGTTACCTTAAGATCTGTCACAGTCATTAAATCATCCTAGAAACTGTAGTCAAGCTCTATCCGTGACTTCAAAGCTGAATCGCTGTTCTTTTCAATGTGCCTTTAAACCCTTTTTTCTCAATAATTTAAGTTACATACGATCTATATAAAGTAGATAGTCTTTTTGACCTCTACACTATGACTTTATATACATTTGTATAAATTGTAATAAAACTCTGTGAGTACTCTTATAGCTGAATCGAAGAAAGGTTCCGTTCCTCTCAATGTAACATTTAAAAATTTTGTGTTGTTATGAACTACATGAGATCTGATTGAATTTCTCAATATTTTAATCCTAAACATAGGGCAGGTGTCCGACGGCATTTTTTTATATGTTTTGCATATAACTTCATCATCATAAAAAATTCCAAAAATGGAATAAAAGCCCTAAACAATGAAGTAAAATAATTTTCGAATTTATAAATATATTTAACATCTTATTATAATTACATTTTGTGTAAAAATTATCTGGATTTATTAAACGAAACACCAAAAATTTTTCACATCACTACAAAATATAAAAATATCGTACGGTAGCACAGTAATAAAACTAATAAAAAAAGTTGTGACTGTGTCTTTTTAGTGCTTTTTCCAAACATTTTGAGCACCCGGGTATTTTCTGCAAATAATTTAAAAATCATAAAATTTTTGTTACAACTGAAATTATTAATTATCATTTATTATTATTATGTTAAGCCTTTTCCGAGTTAGTGCATCAGGGCACTTTTATTCTATGATAGCTGGGGGGATTCTGCAGAGTCCCGCCCATCTCACAGACTAATTTGAGTATTCCTGATAATCTTCGTGATTATTCAATGATTAATCTAAGATCTGCGTACCGCCTCGTGCGGTTAGTGATTAGATAGAGATTAGATAGTGCTAAGTAGGGCAGCCTGTTAGTTTTCGCATAAAGCTTCAGAGCTCAGTCCCTTATGTATTTTTTGATCGGATCAATTCTAAGGTCTCTTAGCATGTTATTCATGCGGATGTACCATGGTACTTTGAAGAACCTTTGGAGAGCCTGACTTTGAGCAACTTGTAGCTTTTGGATAGTAGAGTCTGCAGCTTTGCTATATGCGACACACCCATAAAGTAGTGCTGGTCTAATTATCTGGCTGTAGATCAGCGCTCTGTTCTTCACGCTAAGGTTTTTGTGTTTGAAAAGTTGTTGTAAGCAGTGCAGTGTTTTTGGCCAACTACGTCTTTTGACTTATATGTGCTTGTGCCAAGTGAACCGCTTATCAAATGTGATTCCTAAGTATTTAAAGGTGTCCTTCCAATTAATCGCGATATCACCGACTCTCACTCTAAGTGGATATTGCCTGTGTTTACAAGTAATAAATAGAGCTTTAGTTTTCTCATCGTTAATTTTTATTTTTCATTTCTGGAAGAACTCTAGAATGAGATGCTGCAAGAGTATCGTGTTGGTCATTTATTATAATTATAATAATATCGTTTCAATTTATTATATTAGTTACTAAATATATATACTAAATAAAGTATTTGTATTAAAACTCTAATACTATATAAATAATTATTACTATATACTATATAATGTAAATACTATATAATGTAAATTTCTTATTAGCAATATGAATGAAAATAGATTTTCTATCAACAATGAATTTGCGCCATCCATCTCGAATCAAAAGATTAAACCAAAACTTGTAAAAGTAAACACATTATTAAATAAGTTTGGTAAATATAATATAATAAACATTACACATATATAAATAATATATATTTATAATAATACTCACAGCATCTATAGACGCAACCAAATATTTATACAAATTCGCTGTTGTTCAAGGCGTGCAAGTTCCCGAAACCTACAAAATCCCGTACATAATCTACTCCCTAATTTGGAACTTTCTGGCGAATATTTACTTACCAATTGCATTCGTCATTGGCATTTTCAATGTCTCGGCGGCTGAACTACAAATCGGCAATTTGCTCACATCATTTCAAGTCACCTTTGATGTCTATGCTGGTGCCTTCAAAATTATTTATTTAGCGTTCTTCATTCATAAATTACGTCTGGCTGATCCAGTTTTAGAACGTTTGGATAAACGATGCAAGGAACCGGATGAAATAGCAGAAATTGAAAATGTTGTCAGATTTGGACGTATTTGTGTCATGGGTTTTGCAACGGCTTATTTCAGTTATTCAGCAAGTACATTTCTGGGAGCTGTGATAATGGGACATCCACCATATTCACTTTATTTTCCTTATATCAACTGGCGTCATTCGAAGTCGGAATTTGTAGTTGCTTCCATAATTGAACATCTTATGATGGATCAGGCTTGTGTGCAACAAGTTGTAAATGATTCATATGCGGTGATATATGTACGCATATTACGTACACATGTAAATATTTTACTGTTGCGGTTACAGAAATTGAGTACTAATAAAGCACTGAGTCTGGAACAGAACTATGAGGAATTGAAACTATGTATAAAGGATCATAAAGCACTTATAGAGTAAATTATTTATTTAATGCTCATTTAAAATATTTTTTCCATGAAAATTTTTATAGGCTCTATGATATTATTTCTCCGATTATATCGGTTACTATGTTTATACAACTTATGATAACCGCATCTATACTGGGTACTACGCTGATCAATATTATGATATTCGCTACAGACTTCACTACCCGTGTGGGGTCCTGTTTTTATATTTTGGCAGTAATCACTCAAAGTTTCCCACTTTGTTATCAAGCACAGTGTCTCTTGGATGAGAGTAGTCGATTGGCAGAGGTTATATTGCATTCAAATTGGATCGAACAGAATGTGCAGTATCGAAAATTGCTTATATTCTTTATACAACGTTCTCAAAGGTCTATGCAATTAACTGCTGGAAAAATCATACCAATAACTCTGAATAGTTTTCTTAGTGTAAGTTTGGTGTGAATTAAAATGGGATATAATAAATAATTAATTATTTTATTAACTTTCAGATTGCAAAATTTTCATTCACACTATATACTTTCATCAAAGAAATGAATATTAAAGAAAAATTTGGCTTGGAGTAGTAAATTTGAGTATTTACTAAGATATTTTTTTAATGAAATGAATTTTGGTATATAGTTATTGAAATAATAATATAATATATAATACCATATACGGTATTATATATATTTCAAATGTTCAACAATTTAGCGAAACTCATGATTTTCTTTATAGATTTTCACAATATGTTTTAGATAATAAAATATCAAGAAAAGATATTTATTAAACGCATTGAAGTGTATCTACATTTATTTATATAATATAAGCTATTATTATTTATATTTTGAGAATAGAGTATCACATGTTTTTTCTTTCAGAATTTTTAATAGCTAAAACCAGGTTTATATTAGATAAACAATTCGTACATTTAATCAGTGGCATATTTTAATAGAATTTAGGAGATACTACGCTTGACAATATAATCTGAAAATAAAACAATTTTATTCTTATATATTAATATTTTTATATCGGGCGTTTTTTTAGCTGCATGAGAACTTAAAATGATAATACATGACAGATATTTAAATTTCCGGAATATGTCCGCTGCCGCTACAAGTTACATGCTTCATTCGATCAGTCTAATTTATGACCCTATACTCTTGAAGCCGTACAGTGTCCATGTGTCAAGAGTAATTGGTTTGTCGGCATAAACCAATGAATTAATGTAGCCCTTTAACATAAAAAGTAATCGAGAGACATTAAATCGCACGAACGAAGTGACCAGTTAACCGAACCACTTCTAGAAATAAAGTTATCAAATTGATTTCACAATAAATCGATTGTTAAGCGCGCTGTTTGGGAAGCTTCTCAGTCTTGTTGGAACCAAATCTCTTCGAAACGGAATGTCACCGTCAATGGCGTCCGGCACTGAATCACGATCAATAACTTATTTTTCCAGGTGTGAGTGATGATGTTCTAAATGACGGTAACTTTCAATAAGAATATGTTACATGTTTTCTTAACAGATCAATTCGGTTCAATTTGATCAATTATTGATCAAATTTGTTAAACCAAATTTTCGATGAAGTTATAGTCTCCAGTAATAAATCTGTGTTGTGGTCACATAGATCTTGTGTCTTGTTGTCGACAAAGAATTTAGTAATTATACCATTCGTGAGATACAAACCTGAATCGTCGAAAAAGTAATGGAAAACTGGAGCTCCAAAATAAAATTTCGAAAGTGTTTTCGTAACGATTTGACTGAAATAATTATTCATCGTTAATGCTAATAAATTATCCATCGCACAAAAAAAAATATTTGACTCATTTGATTCATTTGCTCATATGTATTAATTTACTTTCTATAATATTTAAAATTTTTCACCTCTTAAAAAATATTCAATATAATATTTCTGAGAACGATTGGTGTTAGGTATTACCCTAAAACTACGTATGAGACAAATACTTAGAAACGTAGAGTAACCAAAGCCAATACCAGTCTGTAATGCTTTGAATTATCAAAATTACGAATGAAAACATATTCTGATTATAACGGATAAATCACAAAAATTAATTCGTTAATGTTAACAATCCTTAATTCAAATTATTTTAGTTATTGAAAAATGTTATAACTACAATAAAATAAGAGAAGTATGGAACACTAATTAAAACTTTAAGTAATTAAAGTTTTCTATTACGCATTCTACACAATTCACTTAATTAGTTTAACAAAAATAATTAAAAGAACTATAGTTAAACTTTCTTTAAAAACTTTTGCATTTCTCCACAATTAAGTTACACTAGAAAAAATCTTTTCATATTACATATTATTATATTATCATATACATATTATTAAAATTAATATATCAATATATGTGCGATGCATATATTATATTATTACTAAAGTACTTATGATGCTTGGAAATAGGGAAAATAATAGAAGCTGTGACATCAGCATTAATTTAAAGATATTTGCCATATGATTTAATATATATTGTACTTAAAATTATCTTAAGACTCAAACATAAGATATCAATTTTTTTAAACTCTTTGTCTTTGTTTATATATATTAATATTTATGATCAATAATATATATATATGAGGTCTCCAATATCTTCCATGCCACGTTATAGGTGGGGAGTACTAAACTATAGTACTGACGTAAACTGCAGACTCTACATTACAATCTACATTACAAAGCTACTGCAGCCTGTGTTACAGGAGAGAAAAAGTAGATATCATTCATTTCATAGCCCCAAAAAAAGGGACATTCTGTTGGATTGTAAATGCGCTAGCTCCATTGATTATTACATTTTACAGAGTGACGTAAACTGGTAGTATCATAATATTCCTTAAAGAGATACGATTATTTAAGAAAGAAATTTTTATGGCTTCCAGTGACTATTTACAGTTCCTTCCTACTGTTTTATGCAAAACAACTTTTTTACTTTTTATAACTTTTTTAATTGAATTTTTCTAAAGTTCTCAATCCATTATAGTAGTTTAATTATATATTATAAGTCATGAAGACAGGCGACACGAAGTCATTGTCATATTGTAACTCTCAGTATTTTTTCTACTGTTCAATTATTAGTAAAAATTTGAATGTAAAATTTTTGAATTTTATAAAAGAGAATTACTAATACAACATTGAAAAATATATAAAATGCATCCATACTTCTTAAAAACACTTATATGTTAACACTTTTTCAAAAACTTTCATAAAAAATTAAGAAAATTATATTTTAATTGCTAGGTTCATATAAAAGCAATATGAAATAGACGACCAAATTCAGTAATTCTCTATTTGAAACGATTATGTATCTCAACTTGTATTGGCATATCTCATCGAAAAACAAATTTACGTTTAAACAGACAAACCTACAGTTAGTCAGACATGTCAGTTAATTTGCATATTCTCTTTAAGCTAATTAAGTAAGTAATTACAATTCTGTCAATTAAATTGAAATGGTGAAGTAAGACCGACACGGAAGCTGTCAGATAACAGCGAGACAGTAGACATCACCTATATTACAGTTGGGTGCTAATATGGGTACTACAAGAATTTACGCAAAGAAATTAGATTGAACAAATTACCATCAGTGAAGGTTAAAATTGACCGACCCAAGGAGCCGCTGAAAATCAGTTAACCAAGTTTTTCGCCAATAAACCACAAAAGTTCTACACCTATGGAAGTATAAAACTACCCGAAAAATGACAAAAGGTTTTAAATAATAGTGGTCAATATAATTTCATTGGAATTACTTAAAATAACATAAAAAAATATTTATTTAAATACTCGTATGTATTAAAAAAAGTCGAACATTTTTCATATCATTTAATACGTTATAAAGTCTACAGTCAGTGGAGACGGTAATGTATCATAAATACCTTCAAAAACTTAGGTTTCAGGTTTAACACTTTTTGTATAGCGTCCAAAAAAGTAATTATTTTGATTAATATAAAAATTTTATATGGAGACATCAATGGATATAGTTTTTAAATTGTTATACTATATACAAATGAAAACGATATTTTAACAATAGAGTTTTAATGAATAATATAGACCTAAAATGCAGGGTATAAAAATTATTATATTTGAATACGAATTATATTCGTAAATTAATATACATAAATTTATATTAAATATAGATAATATTTATATTAATACAAAAATTTTACATAATCAACAATAGATATAGCATTTAAATTACTATACTATTAGGTTGTTCGGAAAGTAATTTCGTTTTTTTTTTGTGGAAATGAAAGATAGTTTTCGTATAATAAACACAGTTTTTAACCTTCGAGGATAATCCCAGGCCTTTCAAGTTGTCATAAACTGTTAAATTTAATGAATTTAACTTCAATCCGATCTCACGCATCAACTAATGCCTTTATCACGTTTTTATCAGCTTTAACTGGCCTTTCCGAACGTGGTGCACCTTCGACATTAAAATTGCCGGACCGAAATTTAGAGAACCCGTTCTGGCACTGGCATACTGTCAACACACTTTCTCCATACACATCGGTCAATTTCTTTCTGGCTTGAACAGCATTTTTACCCATTCTGTAGTAAAACAGTAAGATATGTCGAAAATCGCTCTCCATATTTAAAAGGGGCACCAATAAAAACTGCTGCATAGAATTAATTGCAATTTTTCACACACAGGTATTGCTATATGAGCTCTCAAAGTATATAAAAATGATACGGCTTAAGTGTGAAGTTGGGTGCAAACTTTTGTCGGAAAAAAACGAAATTACTTTCCGAATAACCTAATATATGTGCAGAGGAATGACATTTAAATAACAATAGAGATTTCAAATGCACGGTATTAATAATATGATATAAAATATATATAAAATATATAATACATATATAAAAATGTGTAATATATATATAAATATATATAATTTATATATAAATACATGTAATATTTATAAGTATATATACAGACCTATTCTGTGAACTTTACAGATTTGTCAATTTTTTCAAAATAATTTTTAAATTTTTATGAAGCACAGAATATGTATAAAATATATATAAGATCTGATATAAAATAATCATAATCAATAAACATATATATAAGATGTAAAAATATATCAGACAAATATATAAACTTCAACCTCATACATACATATATACGAAATTTTAGTCTATGCATACCATACACAACACAGAAAGCCCATTTTCTTTAAATAAATTTGAGATTTAGTTTGCAGTGTATTAGGATCTATAGGCGAGTATTTAATTAGTCATCAATTTTGTTGAGCTAAAAAAAATATAATGAATAAAAAAAAAATTTTTTGTCTTTACGAATTTTTAAATATGTTCGTTGTTGCTTTTTTCAATATATCCAACACAACACATCACATCACTTATGAAATGTATCTCAGTGTAGTAATTAATTCTACTTGATTGACTAATTAAAGAGCATAAATGTGAAAATTTTTATTCCTTCTCGAGTTTAGCTTTTGAATATAATTTATAAAAGGACCTCGTATCAAAAAATAATTTAACAGTAAATCATCAACCTTGGAAATGGACAGGAAATTGGCGGGAATTAAATATATTAAACCTGCCAAA